ATATATAGTTACATGTATACATAAATATGTATATGTATCTATGTATATGTGTATGTATGGGTATATATATATATATATATGTGTGTGTGTGTGTGTGGGTGTGTATATTGTGAACATGGAGTAGAGGGATGGGCGTCTACGTTCACGGATCAGTATGGGCCTGTACCAGTCTATCTGACATGTATATTTTCCGATGCGTATTATGAAGATTTGTGATTGAATAATTTGAATATATATATAAATTTACCATCACGCCCCATGTATGTTTATGTACTTTAAGATGATTACAAATATATTATAACATTCTATGGTGAATCTGTATGTATAAATTGATTGCACATTGACTATACAATTGCTAGATACACTTATATGCACACCGAAGTTATACTACATTTACTATACATTTGCAAGGTACACCTATTTACAGGTATATGCTAGCACTCTAACTATACTAGTTCATGGTGCTCATATATACATACAAATGATACCACACGCATTATGCATTTGCAAGATAGATCTATATACAAGTATATGGTATCACTTTTAATGTACTATCGTACGATACACCTATACACATAAAAATGATACCACTTTTATTATACATTTGGAAGGGAAATTTATATACATGCATAGGTTATTTTTTTACAATACTATTTTGCATTCATTCTGCACTATACTTGTTATAGTGTTCCTGCACACATAAAAACGACACCACATGTACTATACTACATTTGCAAGGTACACCCATATACATATGCGTATGCTATCACATATATCACACACATAAAAGACGACACCACATGTACTATACTACATTTGCAAGGTACAACCATATACATATGCGTATGCTATCACATATATCACACACACATAAAAACGACACCACATGTACTATACATTTGCAAGGTACACCCATATACATATGTGTATGCTATCACATATATCACACACACATAAAAACGACACCACCATGTACTATACATATGCAAGGTTTACCCATATACATATGCGTATGCTATCACATATATCACACACACATAAACATATTATCGCATGTATGGTACCATTGCAGGAGGAGTCCATGTCGTCTGTGAATATCCGCCTACAGCAAACGTCTGTGGGGACGTTATTGGTGTCTGCTCTGAGAGATTCGTTTCTATCGGACTGTGCGATTTTCAATGCCGGCGGAATCCGTGCGAACAAACTGTACGACAAGGGGCGAAGCGTATTCACATACGCCGACCTAGAGAATGAGGTGAGTACATAGCCGCCGAACGTTTTGTGTGTATTGGCATGTATGTATGCGTATGTATGTACATACACACATGTATATAGACTTGGCACTCGTCTATGTCTGTGTATCGTACGTTTAAAAACTTGTACTCGTAATTGAAGTGGGTGGATAACCGTTAAATGTTTTGTGTTTATTTTAGTGTATAGGTATACATGTACATACACACAAGGATAGGAAATGACAAGTCCATGTCTGTCTGACGTACCTTTACATAATTTTACTCGTAAAGTAGATTGATAATTCATCCTATTGTGTGTTCCCATATGTATAGTACATCCGCAGTGTAGAGCCGATAGACATTTTGCGTATATCTGCATGTATGTATGTACATGTGCATGCACACATATAACGTACGTATGTATGCTTCTACTCGTAAAGTAAACTGATAATTCATCCTGCTGTGTGTAACCATATGTATAGTACATCCGTAGTGTATAGCCGTTAGACATTTTGCGTAGATTTGCATGTATGTATGTACATGTGCATGCACACATGTAACGTACGTTTGTATACTTCTACTCGAAAGTTAGATTGATAATTCATCCCGCTGCGTGTTCTCTTATGTATATCATACCCGCAGATGCCGTTTGACAACGAAGTGGTCTGTGTACGGATGCCAGGCAAGGTATGTGTACGTATGTGTACGTATGTGTACGTATGTGTACGTATGTGTACGTATGTGTACGTATGTGTTGTGCAGCGGGTATCCGGAGTATTGGTCTCCACCAACCAATTTCCTTATATTCCTATATTCGCACGAAGTTGCGATCAAGTTCCATCGCCCAAGAACCCTACATTACCATATCGGGAATAGGTCTTCACCATAATCAAGCTGCTATTACACCGTCAGCACCACACAGACGCAGAGATTGATATGTGGTAGCAATGCGTGGTGTGTGAGTGCATTGTTTCATGGTTTAAACCCCTAAACCCTAAGAATGTGCGGTGTTCTCATACCAAACTAGAATTCTTGAAGGTAGGGGTGTTTCAGGGTTTAAACCCCTAAACCCCAAGCATGTGTGGTGTTCTCATACTAAACGAAAGTTTTTGATGGTATGGATGTTTCAGGGTTTAAGCCCCTACACGCTAAGCATGTGTGGTGTTCTCATACTAAACTAGAGTTCATAAGGGTAGGGGTGTTTCAGGGTTAAACCCCCAAACCCTAAGCATGTGTGGTGTTCTCATACTAAACTAAAGTTCTTGAGGGTATGGGTGTTTCAGGGTTTAAACCCCTACACTCTAAGCATGTGTGGTGATCTCATACTAAACTAAAGTTCTTGAGGGTATGGGTGTCCCGTGCACCGGTAGTCCAGGTGCAAATAAAAGAACAGCAGCTAGCAATGAAGCAGAGGCGTGTGTTTAGGGGTGGTCGTATTAAAGTAGCACTATGAATCAACCCATTAATTTATTAGTTGCGTATGAATAATCTGAAGGACAGTATATTGCACATGCTCATTTGTGGGTGGGCTGTGTTTAGGTGTTTCAAGAAATAATCCGATACTCCCGACGGAATGCAACCCTGGACCCCCCTGCCGAATCCGGTGGCTACATGCAGGTATGTACCTGTATGGATGTAGTTGTATTCAATGTAGGTATACATGAGATCATATATTTATATCTATCTATGTGTATGGTTAGATAGCGTTATGAGTGTAGTTGAATTTAGTGTAGGTATACATTAGATCGAAAATTTATATATATATATATATATGTGTGTGTGTGTGTGTGTGTTGTATATATATATATATATATATATATGTATG